CGCGCCGGCCTCTCCGGGCTTTAGCAGGCCGTTTGGCAATGAGGAGCGGCCCTCCTCCTCGTCCTCGTCCATAATGGGCTCCATCCCGCGCGCCAGCAGCCACGCCTCCAGCCCCTCGCGCCCGTTGGCGGTGTCGACGGCGCAAGCACCCGCGTCGCTCGCGGCGCCGTCCTCCCCGTCCTCCGAGGCGCCGCCGTTGGCGCCCGCGGCGCCGCTCAGGGCTTCCCTCTCATCGACAACCAGCCAGATGGACCCCTCCACAGTCACGATGCACGTCCGCGCCGCACCGCTGCTGGAGAGCTGCGAGTTCGCGCCGCTGCTCAGGCCGCCGCCGCCGCCGTCATCGCCGCTGCGGTGGCCGGCGCTGCTGCTGCCGCTGCAGCGGCCGCCGCTGACGCTGCCGCTGCAGCGGCCGCCGCTGACGCTGCCGCTGAAGCGGCCCGCGCTGCCGTTGCCGCTGCCGCTGTATGCGCCAGCGCTGCCGCTGTATTGGCCGCCGCTGGCGACGCCGTTGCTGACGCTGCTGCCGCCGCTGCGTCGCTCGTATTCTGCAGCAGCGCCGCCGCCGCCGCTGCCCGCGTGCGGCGCGCTGCTGTTGCTACTGCTGCTGCTTGAGTCAGCCGCCGGCACTGCGGGCGCTGCGCTGGAAGGCGACTCGGCCGCCTGCGCTGCTGCAAACGGCGACACACGTGAGGGTGGCGCCGCCAAGGCGGCGGTCTGCGCGACATTCCCATCCGCATGCCCCAAGGCGGCCCCTCCCTGCATCAGCGGCGACATGTCCAGCGCCCCTGGTGTGGGCGAAACGGCCCCTGCCTCCAGGCCGCCCCCGCCGCGCCCTAGCGCCGCGGGGGCCCCTGCAGCTGCCGTGTCGGCCCGCCCCCATCCGGCTTCCCACAGATCCCCCGTCGCCGCCCCCGACGCCCCTGCCGCGCCGCCCGCCCTCCCCTCTGCCGCGAAGCCGCCAGCCGTGGGGCCCTCGCCGCCGCCCCCGCCGCCGCCCGGCGGGCCGTCCCCGACGCTCGTGCCGCACGCGCCGCGCCCCGAGTCCGTCGCCGGCGGCAGGCGGCCCATCATCCTGTTGATGAACCGCGCCTCCTCCTCCGCGTCATCCCTCACCACCTGGGCCCACATCTCCCCGGTCAACGCCTGCAGCTCCCCCCTCACGCGGCTGTCCGCCGCGGTCGTGCCGACCAGCGCCGCCGCGAGCGTCCGCACCACATTCGGGTGCTCTATTGATATGCCCGCCTCGAGCTCCTGCCGCAGCTGCTGCAGCTGCACGCGCCCGACGCGCGCCGGCTGCAGCGACGCGAGGTCAACGACTTTGACCGCCACCGGCCCGCCGCCGTCCTGGTCGGCCAGGTAGACCCGGCCCTGCGCGCAGCTGCCGAGCAGCTGCCGCAGGACGAGGCCGGGCAGCTCCGGCGCCGCCGCGAGCTGCCCGAAGGGGCCGCGCGCGCAGCCGTGGCCGTGGCCGCCGCCCAGGCTGCTGCGGCGCTTGGGGGGCGCGCGGGGGCTGTGTGGGGGGCCGCTGTCCAGAGAAGAGCCGCTGTTTATTGAGGGCGGCTCATCGCCGGCCGCCGGCACCCACGTCACTAGGGGCTGCTCCCGCCCCTCCGCCTGCTGCCCGTCTGCCCCGTCCCGCCGCCACTGCCCCCACTCCCCCTGCTGCTCCTGCTGCTGCTCCTGCTGCTGCTC